CCCCAAGGAATGGCAAAAGTTGGCCACTGGTAGCATTTAAAACTAGACTGGAAGAGGTCTGTGGAACACTAAAGAGCCATCCTGCATTGGTAGAAAGACAGATTAAATAATGTAAAAGATCTTTCCCTCCCCAGCATTAGACAGTACAATTCTCACCATTATAAACTGCGATTTAAAGCCAAAGGAAAAAAAAGGCCTATATTAGAGGGAGCCTGGTATTAGAGGGAGCAAGGGAGACAACGGGGGAGGGGTGACTGGCAGGAACACGATGGATTGAAGGAATAACCCTTTTCTTACAGAAAGCTGCTGTTAGAAAGGTACAGTAACCCCCCCCTCCACCCATCCGTGTGCTGTGGCTGACTGATGTCAGCAACTGCCTGGGTTGGGTTCAGAGGGAGCCTCCTCTTTCCCTTCCTTTTATATCACGTGCCTTTCAGACGCCATGTCAGGATCCTACAGGCTGCTGCGGTTTCTACAGTCGGGGAGAATTTCTTCTTCCCATCCTCACCAAATAAACCTCTCTAGCCAAGACACATGAAGATACACAGCACTAGCTTCACTTAAGGCACAGCCACCTGAAAGCCAAACGGGTTACCCCAAGCCCACGTCGCTTTCTCTAAGCAGACAGCACAGAATCACCCCACCAGCAGCACAAGCACACTTCCCTACTCAGAGCAGATGATCGCCTTTCACCTGAAAACTTTCCTGGAAGACAAGCCCCACGCCCTTACTCCTCCAGTTAACATCTCACGGGGAAAATAACCTTATCTTTTAAACTAGAAGCGATACTTAAAAATTCATTATATTTAGCCTTTCTAAAGCATACGATTTCCGTGCTATAAACTCAACCTTTTCATTCCTTCGCACTATCCGGGTATAGATTAAAAAAAATAAACCTCCACAAGCTCAGGCTCTTGCTAACGACACTTATACAATCGTTATTCTACGTAAGAAATCGCTAAATGCAACGGTTTCGACACCAGCGTCGAGGGGAAAACCCAGCTCCAAGGGCGAGGCGCTGCCCAGTCACGGCCGGGCCGCCATGTTGCATCTGTTACCCACACGGGACCGCGAGCCGCTCTGCCCCGGCCGGACCGCAACCCGACTGCCCTCGGGTCCCCTGCTCCCTACGGGGTGCGGGCGGGAGAAGGGGCGGCCCTCAGCCTGGCCGGGGAAGGGGAGGGGGGTGTGGGACGGTGGGAAGGGTAGGGCCGTGCTCCCTGCTGAGCCACGCTGTCCTCCGCTCGCTCCCAAGGGCGACCCCCGGCCTGCTGCCCCAGCCCCCCGGCTCTTCCTGCTCCCCCCGCGGCCACCTGTGACACGGGAGCGCCTCGCCTCGAGGCCCCGAGCCCTGCTCCCCTCCCCCGCCCGGCCGCCAGCCTCGGGCCCGCTGCCTCCCTCTGTGGCCCCGCTTCCCCTCTCTCTCGGGCCCTCCTTCTCTCCCTGCCTCCTCCGTCCCTCAGCCCTTTCTCCTGGCCCCGGCCGGTCCCCCCAGCAGTATAGGTAGGAGTAGTAGGCGGTGGAATATAAAAACCTTGGCGATTTGCGCCTCGATCAGGGAGACGATGTCCTTGGCGAAGGGCACGTTCTCCTCGGCCAGGATGGTCAGCATGTTGATGTGCGGCTTGCTGTTGAACGTCAGGTCCTCCAGCGACGACTGGTAATCGCGGCATGCGTCCTCCCGGGCCTCGCCGCTACCAGCGCTGCTCTCCGGGGCCGACATGTTCCTCCGACCGGGGCCCGCACTAGGACCCGACCCACCGACCGACGGCCCCCTCCCCGCGATTCCCCTGCCGCCGCCGAGCGACGCCGCCCCCCCGCCGCTGCCGCTGGGCTCCTCTACCGCATCCTCCGAGCTGCGGCTCCGCTGCGAGTGGCGCTGCCGTCCGTACCGCCGCTGCGCTTCCGACCACCGCCGGCTCAGTCTCAACGCTCACAAAATGGCGGCGGCGGCTACAGCTCGCGAACCGCTTCCTCCAACCGTTGCGTCATGTGAAATTGGGCTGAGGAAAAGGGCAGGCGGCTTGGAATGCCCCTTTTGTTCCCTCATCGCGTCCCCATTGGCTGACGCTCCTCCGCTCCGCACGTGATTGGCTCGACCTGAAGAAGGCAAACGTGATTGGCTGGAACCACCCCCTCTCCAGCTGATTGGTTACTGCGACGAAACCCCGCCCTCGCCCCCCAAGTCCCGACTCGCGATTGGTCGCTCTTCCCTACTCCCCTGCCGCTAACTAGCTGAGCCTAACCCTCCCGCCTTCCTGTTCCGTCTTCAGCTCTGATTGGTGCCCTGGTGAATCCCGCCTTTCCTCCTCACCCTGAATTGCGGTTGTTAGGCTCTCGCCGCCCCGCCCCGTCCTGCCCAGCCGTTGTCGTGGCAACGCGGCTTTCCGGCTGATGTAGTCGTAGTAACAAAGCCTGCTCGTGATATTCGCCCAAAGATAATAATAAAGCTCTGCTGCTTGTGGAAATAAACTTGTTGGCGAAGTGTTTTCTTCACAGCCCTTCCAAAACGCTGCATGCTATACCCAACACTTCTCCTTTGCCTTTGTGAGGAAACAAAACTGAACTTTTTGAGAGCCAAGGGGGGGAAATGTGGGAAACGTGGCTCCTTCCTAAACTGCTGTAGTTGTTAGAATCCTTGCTCGTGCTAATTACTGGAGTAAAACCAATAAAATGAGCAGAACTGCCTTGCTGAGGGCATCACAGGGTCCAAAGGCACCCTCAGCATCAGACCTGCAGTTTGTAGGTCAGCAAAGGACAGGCTGGTGTGAGGCGCAACAGTTAGCAGCCCCAGAGTCCCTGACCGGAGTTCGTGTCTGAGAGCATCCAGTGTTTGGTGCTTTATCTGTTTGTCTGCATGGGCTTCATATGAAGCCACTAGAACCTCAACAACTACAGCAAGAAGTTGCCCGTGAGGTCCCTGTGTTAAAGAGCTGTGGGAACACTCCTTTCTTTAAGCACTTCTTGGAACATTCATGGTGGCACAGAAATATGTAGCAAATCATTGAACTGTCTAATGAGAAGTTGTTGATGCTACAAGAATTCATAGAATCACAGAATTACGGAGTCACAAGGTTGGGAAAGACCTCCAAGATCATCGAGTCCAACTGTCCACCTACCCCTGGTATTTTCCCACTAAACCACGACCCTCAGTACAACATCTCAATGTTTCTTGAACACCTCCAGGGACGGTGACTCCACCACCTCCCCAGGCAGCCCATTCCAGCACCTGAACACACTTTCAGAAAAAAAAAAAAAATTCCTAATATGCAACTTGAACCTCCCCTGGCACAACTCAAGGCCATTCCCTCCCAGCCCATCGCTGTTAGCAGGGAGAAGAGGCCAACCCCCACCTCAACGCAACCTCCTTTCAAGGAGTTGTATGGAGCAGTAAGGTCTTCCTTGAGCCTCCTCCAGACTGAAGTCTCAATTCCTTCAGCTGCTCCCTGTAAGACCTCTCACCAGCTTTGTTACCTGTCTCTGGACTGAGCTGTCATACCAACAGTATGTCTAATGTGTGGATTTATCTTTTCCTGCAAAAGCATTCACTGTACATTGTGTATTTGAAACTGCCTCCCAAAAGCAAAGCCGTCCCACCAGCTTTGCTGAAATCACTACTTAGAAAGGCTTCTGGGACAAACACGTGCCACCTCTTCTCATTTCATCTGGCGTAGCTGTCAGTCTTTTTTTTGTGCAGCTGTGGCTGGAGCTTTTGCTGGTATGAAGCTCATCAAAAAGCCCCAGGCGTAGACCAAGAAGACACTTGACTTGAGAATCACCAGTAACCAATAACTAAGGAAATCAGTCAGGATAGCTGTGATATAACAGTGCTACATGAGAAAATTTGTCAAGGTAAGAAGCCATTCAAGAATTTAGTATTTTCCAAAACCTTTACAGTTTTGCTTCTGCTTGAGTTGGTGCTTGAGCTGGATTTTTGGGAAGTCTAATAAAATTCCTTTAAACTGTTTTGTGGCTAGAAAACAACAACACAAAACATAATCTCTGGGCACTCAGAAATGGCCTTGCCACTTTTATTCTTGTGTAGTAAAATCAATCAATAAATCAATCACATTTTTTGCTTTTAGTAAACAAAAACACATATACTACAAGAGACAAACGCTGTGGGTTTTTAAACATCAGTTTAATTGCATGCAAATTACCCCACTGTACATCAGCTCAAGTCCTTTGTTCTCCAGCCCAGATTCACTTAAGGAAGCAGACAGTGCTTCTCTGTGGTTCCTCCCAAAGGGGGAAATAGCCTCCTTTCAAGTCTCCAAAGCAGCTCTGCTGTCATAAGCATTATTCTTCAGTCCTTCATCTGCACAACTGTCTCAACCAGAAAGTTTGCCAGTGCGGCTACAGGGGAAGAACTGAAAAACTCTCTTAGAGATGGGACCAAATTTAGATCGATATATTGCTTGTATCAAAACTGCAGAGGATGTTTCTCTTGAAACTGCATCTTAAGGGTTTTGCCTTGCTGAATGTTGCTCTAGTCCTGGCATTGCTAAGTCAGCAAAACTGTAAATACAAGCCATGCCTCTGAGCCCTGCCAGTGGAAGCACTTGTTGTCCAGGTTAAGTAGGACTCATACTGCTTCTCACACTTCTATTCACATTTAGAGTTGTACCTTGTTGACCTCTCTCAAATAACCACAAGCTTTTTATAGCTGGATTATCTCCTATTTAGAGTTAAGCACCCGGGTTACTCTGAATGCGGAGAGCCTGGTTTTGTTTGTAAGGTCAAACCGTAGGAAACACTGGAAATGCAAACTCTGGAAAGCCCCCAGAAAATTCAATTTATTCTCCCAGTGTTGGTGGTGGGCAAGTAGAGATGCACGGTGAAGGAACCATCTGCTAGCATTTCTGTACATACGAAGTTCAACATGTAACTTTTCCAATACGGTTTGCGTTTCACAGTCTCAGAAATTAAGACAAGCTGAATATATTCAGTCACAGATTATTTGATATGCTGATAATTATGAAAAATTCAAACACTGACTTACTGACAAATATGTTTAATATGTCTAGACAAACCTGCTAGCCTGTATCACACTTCAAAGCTTTGCAAGACAGTCCTGACAGCTTGTAATTTTCATAACGTTTTCATTGAGGTGGGTTGCAAACAGCCACAAGCCAAGACTGAAGGTTAGATATAGGTAGGGATATAATAGTTAAATCCACACATCCCTTGGTCGATCTACAGTAAATGCAGTGATATAAAAGTGAGATACCTGAAACATTTGGGATAATATTAACAACCCTGGTGCCGGATATATGTACCTGTCATAAACACTGCGATAGTACGCCTCTGACTTGAGCTCACTGGGTACCAGCAAGAGCCTCAGACCACAGCAGCTCGTATGGTCAGCAGCAGCCTGAGCAGATGTGAATAAGGTGCGGAGCTCCCACACAGGCTGTGCGGTCTTTTGAAACACTGTGTTGACTCAGCTGGGTTGTTAGCTGTACCCGAGTTGGCCTGAAAGCTCTTCTTGGGTCTTTGAGAATGAAGGACTCAAGGCCCAGATGTACTTTGCTTTGGCATTTCTGTGTTATCTGCAGCTACCCAGGCAGATATTTATGACTGCCCTGCATTACCTGTGACTGCTGGGTGACATTTTGTGGGGTGAGGTTCTGGGTTGCTACAGAAACTGTCTCTGTAGATCCATCCCATCAAGCAAGGCTGTAGTGACAAGGCTTGCACTTTCAGCAAGAACATAAATAATTCACATTTTTGCTGGCCTGCTCTCCTTGCCTTCCCTACAAGCAGACTGAGGGCTCGAGGGAGAGCAGCTGTGATTAGCTGGAACACGCGTATCAGAATTAAAGGTGTGTTTACTAAAATACATTTTCAAAACATCTTGATTCAGAGCCCACTATTTTTTTTTAGGAGAAGGGCAATAAGCAATACTCTGTCAGTGCTTTTTTAGAGAGATAGCAGGAGCTCATCTTCCAACCCAAATGCTCCTATCGCATTGCACCACACGCACCAGTTGCCTCTCGCTGCAGTAAGCTGCCGAGGAGCAGCTGCTTTCCTGACTGATAGAGCACAGCCACGTGTCAACCGTCAGCTACCCCCTAAACTCATCCAGCTTCTGCTCTTCTGATCTGGGAGTTCAGCACTTCCTCCTGCAACAACAACGTCCACTTTTACAGCCTGTTTCAATGAGTTTGGGATAGATGTCAAGGAGTACGGGATAGAGAATCTGCAGCAGCGTTTGGCAATCTTAGTTTTCATCACCTTTTGCAATTCAGTCGCAGAGCTTTGTGAGTGAATTCCATGCAGTGACATAGTGTTCAGTTTGTGTTTGGCCTTTGATAAAGTCATGGCACAACCTTTCTGCTATGTTTCAGTGTGGTCTGATAACAAGCACGCTCTGTACCATGTAATATGTAACCTCTAGATAAGTAATTTTTGGAAGAAGCCCTTTGGCTCTTAGATGTCATTTGTCATCTCAGCGGTCAGCTACATCTGCTGGAGGCTGTGGTTGCTGGGAGCTGCCATGCAGGCGGGCGGCCCCTCCTGTCCTGATCACAGCTGTGTCTAGCTGAGGGATTATCTATATATTCTGGTGTTTCTGTGCACTGAGTCCTTACTGAATGTTGTGAAGTGTGTGTGGGAGACTGTATCTGTTTTTCCATAGGTCCTCTTTTCAAAATGTTTGTAACCTACCAGCTCTGTGCAGCAAACTATACAGAGCCTGGAATGCTTTTTCTGGTCTCCCTCCAACCAAACATCAACAGCATATGGATCCTCCTCGGGGCAGAGACCTGTTCCAGCCACTGGGATCAGTGCAGATGCCATTTCTGACAGCAAAAGCGGTGGCAAGGTATAAGCGATGATGGATGGGTGTTGCGATCCATTTATTTTTCAGATCTTTTTGGAAGAAAAATACAGCTGCCTCACCAGCTCCTCCTCATCCTGTATTTGTGCCACTGATGGCTCATGCCTGACTGTTAGCCTGCCATAGAAAGCAAAGTGACTGCAGTGATGAATACATGGTGGGTGCTACTCCTTTCCTTTTAATCTCCCAGATGCTCGCAAACAACTTTTTATCTGCTCCAGACTGGAGGAACTGAAGATGACTGGTCATTAACTTGTTACTTCCAGAAGCCAAATCCATCAAACCCTGCTCTTCACATGGCATGAAAGCTGCTTGCCTTGCGTAAACCCGCTAGAAAAGCTGGGGGTAGTTTACATAACACATCTGCAGCCTGCACAAGCGCTGTTCTCCATGAAGCCCTACTGAATTGCCTATCTTTAATGCTTTTTTCCCTCTCTGAGTGTCTTCTTACTCAAACAAGGATTTAAATTGCTTTGAGAAGATCTTTTTTTTCTGATAAATTTATGCTGCTGACGTCTTTGTATCCCACTACAGAAAAATATATATATATATATATATACATAAAGGAATTGTAACCACAGAATCACATAATTGCAAAGGTTGGAAGGGATCTCAAGAGGTCATTGAGTCCAACCCCCCTGCTAAAGCATTTATATACACATATATAGTGTGTATGTTATTTTCCTAGCAAAGTTTAAGATTCTCTTTAACAGAAGAACACTGCCTATCAGAAAATGCACTGTTTCTCTCTGAGATGCAGAGTAGTTTTCCCTGAAGTCAGCAGATCAGATGGGTGGTGTTCGTTCCTTCTGGCTCTTTGGTCAGATTAGAAGGAACCTCTGTGAAGTTAATTTGATGTTGTTCCTCGGGGTATTTTTCTGGGAAAAAAACGTTGCGATTCTTGGCTAAAAATCTCTTCTAGTCTGTTTACATACCGACAAGCGTTGGTAGTGAGGGACCTGCTCACACTATTGCTTTTGATTCTGAAAAATTGCTGTGGGGGCATGGAATTGTAGAATGACAGAACAAGGGTTGTATGGAAGGGTCCTCTGGGGGTCATCTGTTCCAACCCCCTTCAATCATTTAGGTTGGAGAAGATCTAAAAAATCACACAGTCCAACCATCAGCCTCAGCAACTGCGTCCTTTCACTGCTCTGTGTCCCTTAGTGTCTCTTAAATGACTCCAGGGATGGGACTCCACCACTGCTCTGGGCAGCCTGTTCTGATGACTGACCACCATCTCTATGAAGAAATTCTTCCTGATATCCAACCCGAACCTCCACTCTGCAACTTCAGATCCCTCCTGAAGAAGCCCATCTCCCCTAATCCCAGCCTGGACAGGCCTCTTGTGTAAACGAATATTAGAAAATAATAAAGTAATGACCCACAGTGGGCCAGGCTCTGAGGTCACTTGCAGCCAAGTAGCCGTATAATGTACAATGCATGGAGAAATGGCAGCATATCCAGCACAGTGTCTCTTGTGGTCTCAAATAGGCTCTTCCCTTATTCTTCAAACAGGATTTTCCTGTTGCTGTGTGGGGGCTGGAAGGTTTAACTACAGTCTGACTCTTCCTGCTGCTGTGACTGTAATTGGCTCCCAGGAATCTTCGTGGATATTGAGTAAGGAGGCATTACCTGCTGGGTGGAATAGCCTTCCTAGGGACAGCTTTTGTCATCACAAAACAGATAAGGAAGCGATCCTTCCCCTCCAACCCTTTACATTAAAGAATATTTTTTGACTTAAGCCTATTTTGTATCTCATAAGAAGATTAAAAGAATTGAAGAACCAAGCAACCTGTTTAGTCCATTTAATATTAAGCATATGGTACATGGCTTCATCTTTTGCGGGGCCAGAGTAAGCTGAAGGACATCATTACACACCTTTTGTGCTGCTCTTGGCTTCCAAGCCGTGCTTCATCCATCTTCACAAGATCTCACTGACAATGCTGTTCTTCAAGAGCATCACAGAAGTCCTGGGCTGATTCCCAAGAGCTTTAACCATCCACCTGACTGAGTTTCTAACAGGAACAAAACTCCAACAGCAGTTTTCCTACAGAAGGAAAGGAGCACCCAGCTGCCTAATATCCCCGTCTATTCGCAGCGCTGATCTTGTCCAAAAAAGAAAATGCTTCCAGTAAATGCTATTCAACTTGTTAATCAAAAACAACCCGTAAAGCATTAAGGTGAACTCTTTGCACTGGGAGCATCGGGCAGGCCGGGGTTTGCTATGAGGATCGCTACCTGGAGGCGTGCCAAGGGAGGCAGTGCTTTGGGCGGGCTCCTTGTGCTCAGCCCCGGCCTTGGGCAGGGCTCACAGTGCCTGTGAGTGCGGCACAGCGTTACATACGAATGGACGGGGTGAAAGGCACGTTTTGTCATTAACAGCTTCAGTGCTGTGAAAGGAGCCTGAAACTATGCTCGTACTGAAACGTGCCCTGGGTATTCCATGTATGTGTGAACGTGCTGACCTGCTGGAGTGCAGCTGGACTCAGCAGTAAGCAGGGACATCAGTGGGTTGCTCCAATAAAATTTATCCAGATAGAAAATGGATCACTGGCACCTGGTTTTTCTTCTTCTTTTCTTTTCAGCAGAAATTCTTGCTTCCTCTTTTTGCCCTTTTTTCCCTTCACACTGCTTCTGCATTAGGAATAAGGAAGCACACACATAACTGCTTTTTCTACCCATGCTATGCATAACGCTGCAAAACTTACACAGTGACACATGAATAGGGGCAGCAAATACGCTTTGGACAGGCTTTACACATATTAAATAGGGGCCATGCTGCAAAATTTGCAAAACCACAAGTGTTTAAAGGGGAAAAATCCACCTAGTTAACGTAGCTCAGTGCAGCTTGGCTACAGTGGGGTGCTTCACGAGTCTTTCTCTGCCTTGCCCTCATATCACTCTTCACCTATGTACTCAGCTTGTGTAAATAGGAATGATCATGATTGCACCTTGATGTTTCCAGGCCAAAGTTTAGCAATGAATTTAAGTTTAAATCGCTATGTTTTGCAATCCAGTCTTGCTTTATAAATGGGCAAATGAACACACTAAGCACTGGGCAGCAGAACATCATTTTCAGCTTTTAACTAAGGAATTCACATTATAATATTGCATGACAGCTACAGGAAGGCAAATTCATTTTGGAGGTAATAAACATATAATGATATTAGCAGCATGGTAGAGTCAGCAGATCTCAAAGCACAAAACACTTAACTCCAGAAAGCAGATTTTTACTAGAGCATGCAAGTATTTTTAAGCAGAGAATGCTTTTATGTAAGCAGAACATTAAGTTTATAAACGAATCTTCCAAGGAACGTGAAAGATAATAATGAACAGAAATAGATACAGAAAATGAACAGACAGGAACAGAACCTCTGCAGGCTGGGAAGGTAGGCTGAGCGGTGGTGGCTGTTTTGCCCTGCAGAAGCTGGCTATTGCTCTACATAATTGCCTGCTTGGTCTTGCTTCAAACATGGGTGCTCATTATGGGCAAATGTATTTGGCAACTGTTTATCTTGTATTGATTAATGGAGGTGAATAAAGGTGTGCCAGCACACCCAAAGGCATGTACTTATAACTGATAAACAGCTCCATTCCCAGCAGGGTCAGATGGAAACTCTCCTGGTCCTTGATTCTGGGGATGCTGCAGTCTATGTGCTCACTCTGGAGGTGTACAGAGGAGGCTCAGGATTTCACTCCAGAGCTGCTGCATACTGAGCTCATGACCTGGGTTTCAAAGGGACGAATTGAAACAGATCTCATGTCCTGGGTATGGACTGCATCCAGAGGGAGAGTGTGCATATGTAAACCTCCCAGAGAGCATAGCTTGCCTAATTTACATTTAATTTCACCAAGCTGTTTAAAAAACAAAGCAATGTGCTGTATTTTATATTATTTTATTGGCAATTTTAGTTAAGTCAACAAATTAAGAGGAAATTAGCCCATTCCCAAGTTAATGCAGCAGATAACCGTATTACAATATCAATTCTTTTTCTAACCTTATCTTAGAATTTAATGAAGGTCTGGTTTTCTTTTAACCAGGAGAACCCAGCACCTGCTTAGCTAATTGTTTATTGACGTGGTTAACATGTCACTGGGCATTGGTGGCTGTTGGATATTAAGTGTGCAGTTTGGCCTCAGGCCAATTCAGTGATGCACGCAGACAATAGCCGCACCTTCAGCTCAGTGCCAGGTGGCCATACAGAGCCTGAGCCACAGCTCTGAATCTCGCTGTTACACCATGGTAGCAGTTTGATGTGGTGCTCTGGGAGTGCTTGATGCAGTAACAAAAGGTCTTTTCAGACATTTAATATGGAGATGATGGCTGAATCATCTCCAGCAGCAGTTTGCATACAGTGGGTGGTGAAGCACTGGAACAGGCTGCCAAGGAGGCTGTGGATGCCCCATCCCTGGAGGCATTCAAGGCCAGGCTGGATGTGGCTCTGGGCAGCCTGGTCTGGTGGTTGGCGACCCTGCACATAGCAGGGGGTTGGAACTGGATGAGCGTTGTGGTCCTTTTCAACCCAGGCATTCTGTGATTCTACAATTTATGATTTCACTACAAGAAACGGCACTCAGCCTTTAGCAGCTATAAGAAGCAGGGCTTGCCCTCCTCATCTCTGGCTGTGGCTTGGTGATACAATACATGTGACATTGGCTCCCTGCTACCAGAGCAGATAATGCACACACACTCCTGTCTGTCTGTCTTGTTCTCCTGCACCTGCTGCTGTGCCCGTCCCAGCACTCTTCTTTTTCCAGGAAACTCATAAAATGATTTGGGAATGCAGAGCCCAACTTCCATTGTGTTCTTCGATGGCACTCATTATCAGATACATTTCAAAACTTAATATGGATACCTTAGAAATCACTAAATTGTGGCCCCATCATTACTATTTGTTTGTAAAGGGCCTTGAAAGACACCAAAAAAAAAGAAATGAATTTTGCTAATATTTGCCACTTAACTTTATATAGATGTCTGCAATTGTCCTCATTTCAGGGCCACTGTGCAAAGCAGGTTAAGCAAAATCTGATGAACCATCTAGTTCATGAAATACATACGCCCATTTTCATACATTTTCATACTCCTGTTCACCTGTGCACTGCCACACGTAGCATGCGAGGGCTCTGCCTTCCAGATGAGACTGCAAATGCAAGGCCACCATTAGCATCCACTTGGGTTCATAAAAATAATTAATATTCAGTACAGTATCTCTTCACAACCATTCTTTTCTTGTCAATTCGAGTCTTCTCAACCTAGCCATCAGCTTTTTAAAAGTCCTCAAGGTTTTCCTCTTTGTGAGCGGCTGTTCTGGCTCAGGAAGACGTGGGCTAGAGTACCTCTCCTATAAAGAAAGGCTGAGGGAGCTGAGCTCATTCAGCTTGGAGAAGAGAAGGCTCCAGGGAGATTTCCTTGTGGCCCTCCAGTACTTAAAGGGAGCCAATAAGCAGGAGTGAAATCAACTTTTTTGCATGGGTAGATAGAGACAGGACAAGGGGGATGGTTTTAAACTGAAAGAGATGTAGACTGGATGCTGTGGAAATATTTTATCAAGATGGCAGTGCTCCTGGCACTGCTGCCCAGAGAACTGTGGGTGCCCCATCTCTGGAGGTGCTCCAGGCCAGGTTGGATGAGCTCTGGGCAGCCCAGTGTGGTGGTGGCAACCAGCCCATGGCAGGGATTGAAACTGGATGACCTTTGGTGTCCCTTCCAACCCAGATCATTTTGTGAGTCTAAGACACTTCTATGATTCATTTTGGTTGGGGCATTTCAGGGACAAGTGAGAAGAGGAAGATGACAGCATGACAGCTTGCCCGCCAGCTTCACTGCAGCTTTCAGTCAGATCTTGGATTCCTGGGTACTTGGTTCAACTAAATTTCTGAGAGGTACAAGTGCTCCGCATGCTGCTTAGCACCTCCACAGCTCTAAAATTGATCTCTGTGTGTTAAAAAAATGGCACTTTTTATACACACTTGGGTTTTGCATTGCTGATTTATCTTAGAAGACAGACGTGTCTATCCAAAGCCACCCGTGGCCGGTCAGAGAAGGGTAATGAGTGGTATTTTTGTCTGCTATTGTACCAGTGCATACTTCCTTCCTTCATCTTAGTCTGCAGCATGTGTTGATTCAGTAGAAACCCAAACCCTGTAATAACTACAAAGACTTTAATCATTGCAGTCCCAGCTGGTTGTAGTGCTTGTTTTAGTTCAGCTGAACAAGAGTTTAAATAGCTTGCGAATAGATGCTTTCACTATAGTAAGTTCTCTTCCCCTTGGCTTCTCACAAGATGAAACATCATAGCACTGCCGCGAGGCAGAGATGAGACATCTGCAGGAAAAGCAAAGCTTGTTTTGCAGAAAAAACTTGGCTTTTTGAAGCAGAAGTAGCCCCTCCTCTGAGCATGCATTCTCTTCAGACATGTCACTATTTCCATATTGCTAATGTCCATCCCATCCATCCCTTCCTTGCTGATTTTGGCAGAAGGCACATCTGAATCAACTAAGTGGCAAATTCCTGCTCTGAGGAAACAAGGTCCCCTGGGAAAACTGAGTGCTGCCATTGAAATGTTCCACAAGAAAAAGCATCCTGTCGCATTCGTATTTATCTTGCCAAAGATTCTGAAAGATTCTGCCTTGACAAGAAATGGGAGCAACCATCATGCTTTACTTTAACCTGCGCTATCTTTTGTAGACAAGGAATACAATTCCCAACTGTGCAGTTGTCAGGAAAGGATTTGCAATCTGTTTCCATACATCTCCTCCGTTTTATTCTTTAGAGGGTCAGATTGAGGAATAGATGGTTGGACTGGATGATCTTGTAGGCCTCCTTCAACCTTGGTGATTCTCTGATTCTATTCTGTGGCATTCTAGAGTGATTCAAAAAGATTCCAAAAGCAGAGAAATACAGCACAGCTTCCAGCTGAAGCTACAACTTCTTAGGCACCTGGGCGCTCTCACTGTGGGAAGAGAACTGGATGTCTCGGCATGCAACACAAAGCGATCTCTTTATTGGGCGAGAAACCGCTTCAAGTCGATACGAGAAGTGGGAAGCTGCCCGTTTTTCCATGTTGGAAAAAGTGGGGACAGGAGAGGTTACTGCCACGACACGCTTAAGGCACAGAGTTAGGACATACAAACATATCACTGTAAGTCCTACAAAACCAGGAGTTTGTGTATGGAATGAAATCAGTCTTGATAACTACAGCTCTGCAGTGCAGTTCTAGGACGTGCTTTCTTTACAGTTTGGCTGTATTTAACAGTGCAACAAGCACTGTAATCACGATGAGACTGGAGCCTGACCTTCCCACACCTCATCTATCCATCTATGAGGGTTGGCCATGGTATGGAAAACAAAAGCAAACCAAAGCTTGCCTTCTGTGTGGAAAAGATAAAAGGCTAGAACACTGATATAATTTAATCTTGCTTTAGGGAATCAAAAACTTGAGCTCACAGTGAATGCAAGCATTCTTTCCCCAAATTAAGAACTAGACACAATTTGATTTTTTTTTTATTTTTATTTTTTTCTTTTTTTAGCATTCTATTGTAATTTCAATCAACAGTGATGGAATTCAAATCTTTTCCCCAGGAAGGCACAGCAATTCATCCAGAAGTGATGTGCTCAAGTAAAGTCTCCTCTCCACCCTATCAACCCAAAGTACACAATGTGGCAGATGAGAAAGGCTGTTCAGGGAAGGCTAAAGGTTTAGAGATGAGTCAGTGTTTCACTGCATCACTGCAAACAGGAAGAGGCTATTTTATAAATAATGGGGTCATTTCCATAACCTGAAAGCCCACATGTACACCAACAGGTCCTTGCAGCAAGGAATCACACATCAAGTTTTCCATATCATTAACGTCTGAGTTCAGGCTATGGGGACACTTAAAACCCTGCAGGTAGCTCTGCACAGCCTTGTGTAGACTGGAAAGCGTGCTGGAAGAGCCACAGCATATACTGATCCCATGAATAGGTCCCTGTCTGCAATAATCTCATTTCTAATGACTCTGTTCCTTGGATCCTTTCAATAATTCCCATGGCATTTTTCTGCCTTCAAATAAATCAACCACCCTTCTTGCACTTTGGACACAATGTTGGAGCTGGTTCAAAAGGCTTCAGCCCTGCAGAAGGCAAGGACACAGACCTTGTCTGTGTGTTTGCTGCTACCTGTGTTTTGTGGAACGGAGAGCCAAAAATAATCTGCAGTTCAAAGCCATTGTGGAAGATGCCTTGGAAATCCTCAGTCTTGTGCTGGAGTTGGTCTCTGCTCTGTTTCCGCAAAGTGATAAGGGTGTTACTTACTGCAGCGGATACTGTGGCCTCATCTGTGCTGTACATCTGGAACTGTTCAAAATGAAGACTGCTGGTCTTCATTTTTGTTTTTGTTTGGCACTTATTGCACTTTAGACAGGAACTCAGTTTTGAAAATACAGCTTCTGAACTGACATCACGGATAGAAGCTTCTGTTCAAATCTTTTTTCTTATATAAAAAGCATTACAGTAGGAGAGTCCCCAGTAGAGCATCCAATACAGAATATGAAACACCCCATATTTCTATATTCACATGATAAAGCTTCCATCATCACTTACTATTGCTGCTCATTAGGTACTTGCTAACAGTTCTCCAGTCAACAACAGCCTGAACTTCTAACACCTGTGCAATTGCCCCCATGTGGAATTCTACTGATTTTACAAAAGCTAATGACTATCTGCTAATTATATAAGTAACTGTTGTGGTTTATGCCATCAGCTGTGATATTAGATCCCATAAAAGATGATACACTCCTACAGACCTTCAGAGATGAGGCAGGCATTGCCCAATGTTAGTAACAACAGCCAGCAGACATGCTGGGTGAGGCTTACTTACAGATACACGCGTAGGTATCTGTGAGCTGTCCTAACTTCTGCTCCCTATGTAGTCAGCTGAGAGGAACAGACATCTCAAGAGAGAAATTAGTTTCCCTGTAACACAGCATGAGAATGGAGCCCACTTGGCATTCTAGTTCTCACATAATTAACTGCCTAGTCGTTAACTGTCAGAAATAGGGCGATTCTACATGAGAATAATTATGCATGCACAAATAACACTTGGGATCAGGCTCTGGCTAGCCTGTGTTCTACAAACGTAGATTCTCAAATCAGGCTAAGAGGTGCTGGGATGTCCACGGTCCTCTTTGCAGGCTGCAAGTAAAGCCATGGACTGGGCATGTGTTACATGTCTCAAGTCTGGTGATACCCCACTAATTCCATGCACAAATCCAACAGCAGTGTCTTAGTTTCAATCCCTAATCAATGCTAGAGTGCTGCCAATTTATTCCATTATTTCTTTCATGCATTTTGGTCCTGAACAGAAGCAGCAACTGGAGCAGCCTCTCTCACGTCAAAGCAAGCAGAGACCCAAACATCTGACACACATTTTGCAGCACTGTGCAGTACCTGCATACACTGAAGGTCACACCTGAGCAGTGGGACCTTGGAAAGGACTGAGCTCCTCTCCCTGCCTGTTAGCATGACGGGTGCTGCGGTTCTGGGGGCCATGCTGCTGCCTCCCATTGCAGCCACAGCCAGACATTGCTGGCACTGCCAGTGCTACACATACAGACATCCCCACAAGGGTCTGTGATGGGAGAGAAGATGAGCAGGATTTCTGACTGCTGACATGATCTGTGTTCTCTTTGCAGCTCTGTAAGGAAAACAGATGGGCCAGCAAACCAACCCTGCCTGAGTACCAACTATGAGAATGCATGCATTCATTTTATTTAAAATGTGAATCTAATGGTCCTGTCTTGAAAATCTGAGCTATTCTTATTATTGTTACTCTGTTCTAAAGCATTAACAAAACTGCTCTGTGTCTTGGACTTAGGAATGCAAATATTTTTTTCTGTGATGCCACAAATTAGGTATAAAAATGAGTATCCCAGTAGTCACAAACTATTCCAAGAAGCTTCAAAAAGTTACATTTTATCTACAGATGCTTTCCAAGGTAAGTTTTAATAAAATGGCATTGGTAGCAACCTGCATCTGAGTGCATTAAAATACAGAAATACCGTAGTAAAGAACTGAAATGTTTGAATCTCCTCTTTAAAAAATGTTATTAAATAGGTTTCTAAGGGATAATGTTGTTAAGAACACTGTAAAGAAGGGCTGCATTGGCTGCAAAGTCTTTGCACTACTGCACATCAGTGGTGATTGCTTTGTTTTCAGCAACACTTGCATTGTGCCTTCACTTGATACCTTCAGCATGGCACTTCTGTCTGTGAGGTACGTAAGGCACATGACCACAGAGGTTCACTATTCAACCCCGGGTGTCATCAGCTTAGGAGCTGGAAGGAGCTACTTAAGAGAAGCCATCCAGCACAAAGCGTGGTCCTGAGGCATAAGTGATTGAACCCCTGAGGGTACCACTGCAGGACCCAGGTCCTCTGAAGCTTGAGCTCAACAACTTTCGTGTCTTATGGCCCAATTTCAACAATAGGTAAGTGAAGAAATGGAAAGAAGGGAAGAAAAAAGAGACTTTTTTTTAACCAAGGTCTGTTGTAACAAAACAAAGGGAAATGGTTTCAAGCTTGAAGAGGGAAGTTTTAGGGTTAGATATAAGGAAAAAGTCTTTTACAGTGAGGGTGGTGACACAATGGAACAGGCTGCCTTGTGATGTGGTTGATGCTCTGTCTCCGGAGACTTTCAAGGTGAGGCTGGATCAGGCCCTGGGCAACCTGATGGAGCTGTGGTGTCCCTGTTCATTGCAGGGGAGTTAGACTAGATGGCCTTTCAAGGTCCCTTCCAACTGTAAGGATTAGATGATTCCATATGAATATTTGAGTAACTGCATGAATACATGCAGCTGTAACATAAAGCATGAAACAAATCCCTACGAAATGTCACTTACTGGCCTTTCCATAAAAATGACTGGATGAAATGGAAGGCTTTTCTACAGGTTTTTAACTGAAATACCAACTAAAAAGTAAGAAAGGGTCGAACTTTTTTCCCCTCACCACCTCTCTGAAGAACCACTTGAAAAAGAGTAGTGCCACAGTTGTGTTGCAAGCTCAGAGCCTTCCTACCTGGCAAAAGATTTCAAAACCCTAATGCAAGATTTCCAGGTTAGGGCTGAGAAAAAACATTTGATCACAGCACATCCAACCGTCCTTTTCTTTGCTAGGATGATGAGATGCGACAGCTGGAGGAGTGCAGCCAGCAGTGTGACCAGCTCCAAATGGCCACACAGATATGGAATTGTGTGAGGGCTCTCATGCACAGAGTGAATACTGACTGTGAAGTGCTGTGTACAGCCAACAGGGAGCTCCTACAGAAAAGAACAGAGACAACTGGAGTGTTATCTAGAATGAAATAGTGACAACTCCGAAAGCCTTTCATGGGTGGTGAATGTGAGCAAAGGAACACTTTGTATTTGCTACCGTACCACTGCCTGTCTGCTGAGGAACAAGTTCCAGGTTCCAGGCAGCCCTGGGCAGCCGTCCCACTGTGCCCCACAATGGTAGCACTGCCTGGAGGATGTGCATTTAAACAACTGCCTAAGCACTGAGAAGATTCAGCCGCATGGTGGCTTTGGGAGGAATAAGGCTGGCAAATTGGCTGCACCGAAGAGGCAGAACTACCCACTCCAGAGTGTATGACTGAGTGTTACAGGAAGGCAAACATATTCGAAGCCAAGGATCTTGGCTGTTCTGACTTGTGCCTAAATTTACCTTCAGATAATGAAGAACTGTAGTGGGAGGTTGGGATATTTGACATACCATCAAACTCACATAAATGCGGCAGCAACCACTCAGAATAAAGGGCAGCATCATCATCCATTTTGGAGATCTGCAAAGCTGAGGTGCTGACAGCAACTTGTGAGAGCCCCAACACGTACCTGCTCCTGTCTCCAAGCATGTCACGTGCCTTGGTTCTCCTGACAAGGTTAATCCACAGCCAAAGAACCTTCTCAGGGTTGAGAGTCGAAAAGACAGACGGATTAAAAACTTTCAACAAAGCAGAAATATTCACACAAACTCTATTGTCTAGGACACCTCTGAGCTTTCTCAACAGGGAACTGCCACTCCATTCCAGGGTTCTGTCAGCAACACATCACACTTCTCTATTTTTCCTTGACTCTCTTGGCTTATTGATTTATATAAAGTGAAAAACTGTGTCAATAGAGGCAATATATTATAAATACATGTAGTGGGTAGGATTAGGCCAGTGGTCACCCACTATCCAGGATTTGAGAGGAGCTTTTAGCTGGCAGAGATCTGCAGGAGGCTTAATGGACTTCAGTGGGACAAGCTCATTAACAACACAGAGTCCTACATCCCAGGTGAGACGCAGCACCCACCTGGCTGTGCAGCGCCCTCCTGCCAATTCACACCAGGACCACATCTGCCTCTGATTTTTCCTGAAAGCTTAACAACAGCAATAATCCCTCTGGGGATTATTTCAGCAGAAAGGGCTACAATGAAAGCAAAGGCTCACAGAGGACATGATTCACTATTGCCAGAGTGGAGACAGTAGAGCACATCTGCATGGTAAGGAATTCCACTGTGTACTCTTATCAAGGAGCACTGCAAAAGCACTGACATGGAAAACACCTATCCTATCTCTGAAATGGCTGAGTACCTAATTCTCTCTGTGCAAATCTACCTTGCCATTAAATACAAAGGGTGTATTTGGCTAGGTGTGCAGGAGTAACATGTAAATCCTTAACTGTAAGAAATTGCATCATACGACAAACGTGTACCCTCTGTAACAGTTGGAATCCTGTTCCACATCTTATTCTAGCTCTCTCATCATTTGCTTGACTACACCTAGCATCACCAATGCTGTTCACAGACTTTGTGGTTCCTCAAACCTGCTCAGAAGGCAGCACACAGCAGAACACTCAGCAGTCATGTACCAGAGACCTAAAGAAGAAAAATCACCATTAACCACCACACGCATAAGGGACGTGCTGCTGCTCCTCCCCTACAAACCAAACCCCATCTTCAGGTGCATGATTTAATGAGATGAAGGCTGCAGCAACCCAAGGACTGACTTTTGCTGTGTGCCCCATCACCAGCTTTTACTGCCTTGTTGCAAATGCTCTCAACCACCTCACTGACCCACTCCAGGTTTTTAGAGAAGTCACACAAACTTCTTATGTTTCCAACTTTGGCTAAAGAAAAGCAGGCACAGGGCTGGACATTAACAGCCTGCTAATCACCCTGCTGCTGCAGACAGGCGCAGGAGAGCAAAGGGCAAAAGATAACACGGAGCTCCTTAAATGAGCCGCGCCATCCAGTCCGTATAACACAGCTGCAGTCTTGGAATTCAAAACCTGTGGAATGCGTGCCCCCAAAGGCTGTGATAGAAGAATTCAGAACCAGGGAATGAGACGGCAGCTCTGTTTTCAGAGAGATAATATAGTCAATCTCAAACATCTATGCTAGTTTTGAGATCTCTCTCCTATACTGAAACACACCAGAGCTGTTAAGATGTGATTACCCCTTTCACTTGAGCGCCCCAGGGCTCGTGTATGCAAGAGCAAGGTTCAGAACAGATCTGGGTTGTGCAACACAGCAGGTAAAGCGACTGACCCCAGCCTGTCCTTTTTGTAGTTTCTGCATGAGCAGATCACGCTGTTGTTCCATGAAATAGTGCAACCACGGGCTGTATGAGTAGGCAGTGAATTCACAGTAGGAAGCAGCCTGGGTAAGCCTGACCTATGTGGACTGAAGCCAGACACAAATGATAGTGCTTACTAGCATTCCACTAAGTTACATCCTTAGGATGCTGTATGTAAATAACTTGACAGAATAGAGCAAGCAAAACCACAGGAATGGAAGCTTGGCCAGCAGCTCGAGCTACTTACTGTCATTGTGTTTTCCAGGAAAAGGCATTTACAGAGAAATGGCAAAACCAAAAACAAAAGTTGGGCTTGTGATGAAGTGGGAAGAGAGCCAACAAATGACAAAATACTGAAATAATTTGGGAAAATCCAACAGGGAGCTGTTGGAATGGGTCCAGAGGAGAGCCACAAAAATGATCAGATGGCTGGAGCACCTCCCCTATGAAGACAGGCTGAGGGAGCTGGGCTTGTTCAGCCTGGAGAAAAGAAGGCTGCAGGGTGACCTCACTGTACCTAAAGGGAGCCTACAAACAGGAGGGGAACCATCTCTTGGAAAGGGTAGATAACTGCAGGACAAGGGGAAATGGTTTGAAGTTGAGGGAAGGAAGATTTAAGTTGGATGTCAGGGGGCAGTTCTTTACAGAGAGAGAGCTGAGGTGCTGGAACAGCTGCACAGAGAGGTTGAGGATGCCCCATCCCTGGAGGTGTTCAAGGCCAGGTTGGATGGGGCCCTGGGCAGCCCAGTCTAGTACTAAATGTGGAGGTTGGTGGCCCTGCATACAGCATGGGGGTTCACTGCTTGACCCTTGAGGTCCCCTCCAACCTGGGCCATTCCATGATTCTGATACAAAGCTCCCATCAAAGGCAGGAGCAGCAAACTCAGGGGATTCCAGCACAGAAGCCGCTACCAAGTGACACCTCCTGGCAGCCGGGTGCTTCTTCACATTACAGTTACTCACCCAAAAGGAAATGCCTTGTGTGTGTTAATGAACGCTCTGACAGCATTGCTGTTAATGTGCTCACACTGCAAACATCTGGATTTTCAGATGAATGGCACCAAAATCAATGTGTAACTTCGTGCCACTGCATCTGAATAGCCAGAAAAAGCGAGCACACTGTGACACACAGTCAGGGACTCCAGCGTTAGCAGTTTCCTTGCAGGACATCCTTACAGCAATGCACAATTTGACATAAATTCCAGCTGTCTTACCTCTGTTATACATCCACTTTCTCCACAAACCACACAAGGGACAAAGAACAGCACTGGAAGTTTGCTGTACCTGAAGGGTCACACTGCCTTAGCCATACCTTTCAGTTCCCTTTTTTACAAAGTTATTGTCAGTGAGCTTTGGATTTCAGAAGTTTGTGGACCACGAAGGAAAGAACCACTACTTATCTCCCTTACCCCTTGTTGTTTTAGAAGCATGGGAACTGCCACCGTGCTTAAGGATGTGTCAGCTCATGGAGTGTTTGTTTGGCACAGGCACACACATGGGCTCCCCAGTGAGATGCGGTACAAACCCAGGTTTAGAGCTTCTCCCCAGATCTACTGGCAATAGTGGGGCCTGCAGCCAGCAAACCTCAAAACCCAACTTGCTTTGTACAACACACAGCCCTTTGTGCAGCACATACCAGCTACAACTACACCAGTGCATCCCAAGTGTTAACTTGCTCTACTCAGAAGCGCTGAGGTTCCTGCTGGGTACACAAAAGCTGGGACGCAGCCAACCGCAGGGCTTCCATCCAGGCCTGGACCCCAGCCAGGTGTGCTGAGGCAGATCTTCAGCGCAGTGCTCCAGTCCCCATAGCCCTGCAGGAGCTGGGTGGGCCAAACAACACTGTTACTTCTTAAATAACAAAACACGGTCTCGTTTGACCAAGACTGAAGTGGTGTGAGTAGTTCTGGACTGCGTGGCTCTATTTATGGTCTCAAAAGAACTATCCCTATTCAGCTGAGCAGCAGACACTCATCCATTCCCTCTTCTCAGGAAGTTTCTGCCACTGCTGCTTGGGAAAGTGAGTTTCCCCACAGCTGCAATCCTCCTGGACTCAGACAGTCTGCACTTTTGCCAAGGCCCATCACTGTGTCCTGATTATCAAGTATGAAGCTCAGTACCCTCATCCCCCCGTCCAGCGTCAAAAATAGAAGTAACATCCTGTTTCACCATTGCCAATGAGTCCTCACTTAAATTCATGGAAGTTCCAAGAGAACCTGAGGTTTCCCCTCTATTAAAACTGGTTCCTGTGAGGCCACAACTTGCAGTAGCCTGTGCACCTCCCACCCCATGTTGTGTAACTGCTACTGAACTTCAGAACATGTTCACAACACTTGAAGAGGCTCCTCCTGTGCTGAAAAACAGAATATAGAAAAGTTATTACAGGAATCCCGAGATCTTTTAAAAATGTAACAATTGCTCCCCCCCCACCGTTTCGTTTACAACACTGAGATACACAACTCTTCCATTCTCACCTGTTTTCCCAAGTTCTCACACCACACAGAGGTACTTACCTACACCCAGCTGAATCCACGCCCTTACCTTGAAGCTGTTATTACTCCACAAAGCATTTCTGTAGATCATCACAGAAGGAAACCATCACAGCAGCTTCTCCAATATCAGAGCACTCATTTCAATGCCTCTTTACCTGCTTTCTTCACAGGCCCTACAGGCAGCAGAGCCCCAGTGACTCTACAGCTCTCCCCCTTCATCCAAAGGGACTGCAGACAACAAAGAAAGAATTTTAAAACTTACTTATGTGCCAGGAGAAACAAAAATTGTGTCACTTCTACAAGTCATTATCAAAACCCTCCCACCCAGCTGACTTGTGTGCTGGCAATTACACAGGGTCAACGATTACAAGAGAGAGAAGGCCAACATCTTAACAGTTCTCCAAGCTCTGCTTATATTGATGGTGACTCCACAAAAACAAAACACCTTAAAACTTACCCAGGAATGTTTTCACACTCCATCTCATACACGCATGCGTTCCTCATGTGGATTGCAGGCACGTTTCCACTACATCATCCAGTGAAGGTCGAATTTACAACAAAATCTTTCAGGTTTTAATTCGGAGCAAGAATTTACCACGATGAAAGCAAAGACAGCATACAAACACGCACTAATTGCTTCTTTGCAGAAAGCCAACACACGTTCCTACTCCTTGTTCTCTGCACCATCTTCCACGACTTCCAGCTGCTCCTCCTCACTCTCAGGGCACAGTGGTTGCTTACTGGAGCGCACTCAGACCAAATTCATTTTTGCAAAAAGGAAAACTCGCTGTTTCTGCAGCGTAGGATGCTGGTACAGCAAAGCACAGACAAGTATGACAGCTTAGCAGGCTCAGGACCATATAAGCACTTGAAGCAGCTTCCATAAAATGCATTAAACCAGAGTATACCCATGTATTTAGAATACAGCAGAGGCAGGCCTTCAGTTCTTTAGTCACTTTGTGTTTTTTCACATGGAAAACTGAGACAGTGCTTATTTCTGCAGTATGGCTATAAGGTTCCTGTGGATCTTGCAATTAAGACCTGCTGGGTCAGAAGGTAAGTGGCTGTAAGCATTTCCAGATGAACAGTGTAAAAAGATTACCAACGTTTGAGATAATACAGGTTTTAAAATTCCAAGTTCTAAGCTGTGTAAAATCTAGCCTGACAAATACTGGGTACCCCAAACTCATGAGAATGAACTGTACAACACAGGAAACTATGTGTCAGGCACATCAAGCCTTCCTTTCATGACCTTTTCACATCAATTTTCTCCTCACTGAGACATCAGCAGCATCTACAATGTCGGATAAACACAGTAAAACAGCTTAGTAATTTCATCTGTAGAACAGGATCCTTGTCTCCTACCCTGAGCAGCAGCATGGAAACAAGGTGGGTGAAGGAAGAGTAGGAATCACTGCAGGTGATATCAGTGATACTTAGCACATAAAAGCAAAGTATGTAGTTACTGTGTCAGCAAATTTACCCTGGACAATTTCATACCATGTTTTCTGCCATTTGTAGAAAAGACTCACACACCCTATCACACTACTTACCATCATTACTTGGTATCAGCTGCACAAACATAAGCATAAGCTTAGCCTTAAAGTTTAAGGACAGCAACTGTTCTGACACATAATACTGTCTGTTTTTTTTTCCCCTTCAACAAAACTAAAAGCATCCACATAGAGAAAATAAAAACAACAAAGAGAGTAATGCTTTTAATTCAGAATTCCTCAGATGTGTAAAACTAAACTGGAAATTATAGCAGCAGAAAAGCTTTATATTCTTCTCTTCTGTGACGAATGCAGCAAAAATGGCTAAGGGGGATGGGCAGAAGCTACGTGAGGTGTACGTGCTTTTCTAAGATGCCTGACCTTTTGTGGGAAGATGGAGAAGGCAAAAAGCTGGCTCAGATCCTTTGACAAGATGGATGTGGATTTAAAGGGACAGAAGAACAGCAAGTACTGCTACAATACCAACAAATATTTCAAGATGCCAAGGTTCAGGCTTTATGAATTACTTATCATCTCCTGATAGTCCTTCACCATCTGATAGCGCCGTGGGGAGGACAGACCACCACGCCTGTGCAGTTACTGCGAAGCGTTGTTCTGAGAAATTCACTGCACTTACCTCCAGGAGGAGCCAAAATACTTTAGAAAAGAAAAACCTGTAAATTCTTTTTCCAGACCTACACCACTATTGGGCTTTGGCCCATACTTTCAGAAATCCTTTGAAACTCTCCAACTCCTCTAAGTGAAGTACCTTCTTCAAGGAATAAAACATTTTATTTTACAGGAATCAGCTGTAATGAAAAACAAAGTTATTTAACACACCATACAACACACTGTGCTTCCTCCCACTTTGGAGTAAGGGTTATTTCAGCAATAACCACCCGTTAGGGAAAGGAAACAGAAATTCCCCTCCCCTTGGACAAATGGATCATCCCCCCCCCATTCTGTGACACAGAGCACCACACAGGCAGCAGCGATGCTCAGTGCACAGAACTCTACACACCATTTCCTCAACGCAGCAGCCAGGAAGAGGGCGTGAAGCTGAGACTGCACACAAAGTGGGAGTGCTGATAAAGATTAGCCGATGTGACGAGCATGCACTGCTTAGAAGGCAGGGAAACAAGCAGCTCAGCTAACTCCAGACTGGCTCAGAGAAGACTGAAGAAAAGAAGGCTGCAGGTGATCTCATGGCAGCCTTTCAGTACCTAAAGGGAGCCTACAAACAGGAGGGGAATCAACTCTTTGAAAGAGTTGATAACAGCAGGACAAGGGGAAATGGTTTGAAGTTGAAGGAGGGAAGATTTAGGTTGGACTTCAGGGGGAAGTTCTTCACAGAGAGAGAGGTGAGGTGCTGGAACAGCTGCACAGAGAGGTTGAGGATGCCTCATCCCTGGACGTGTTCAAGGCCAGGTTGGATGGGGTCCTGGGCAGCCTGGTCTAGCATTAAATGTGGAGGCTGTGGCCCTGCATGTGGCGGGGGGTGGAGCTTGATGATCCTTGAGATCCCTTCGTTTTGTGATTGACGATCCCTGGACATTTTGTGATTCTATGAGAGAAACGAACCCCACAGAATGCCTTGGGTTGGAATGGACCCCAAGGATCATCAAGTTCCAACCCCACAGCCACCGGCAGGGCCACCACCCATCACATTAGTACTAGACCAGGCTGCCCAGGGCCCCATCCAACCTGTCCTTGAGGATTATCCCACCTCACCCTTTCTCCATGCATAGATCTATAGATCCGTTTGGAACACAGCGCGCCGAGCAGCGAGCAAAGCTCCTCCTGCTGGCCGCAGATCACCCCCAGCAGCCGCGCACCCCCGGCTGCACGCACGGCCCAGCGGCCCCTGCGGGCCCAGCACCCGCTGCTCTCTGCGGGCTCTCCCGCTTCCGAGCCGCCTCAGCCCCGCAGGCAGCACGCACGAAGGGCGGACAGCTCGGCGCCGCGCTCCCAGGCGCCGTCCCCAGCCTCCCCTCCCGCCTCAGCGCGGTCCCGGCTCGCACCACCTCACACGGCCGCGCACCAACCTCAGTGGGCGCCGCTCCCGCCTCGGGACCCGCTAACCGTTAGCCGAAACGGCGCCCTGCCCCTCCGCTTCCAGCCCTCCGCGCCATCTCGGAACGGCCGCCCAGCTCCCCCTTTCCCGACATCTCGCAGCCGCTCCTCCTGCGCTAAAAGCGATCCCGCGCCACCAACATGGCGCCCGCCGCTCGTTCCCCCTCCTCCTTTTGGTCTCAACCTGGAGGCTGCGCGGCGCGGGGGCCGCCGGGATGCCGAGTGCTTGCGCACCTTCGCTCCCTACGGCATCCAGGCGCAAAAAACTACAATTCCCAGAATCCCTTTCTCCAACCAATGGGAACGCGGCGCCTCTTCCACTCGCCCCGCCCCCGCGGGTGAGAGGGTGATGTCATCGCCCGTTCATTGTGCTCGCGCGGTGCCGCCTCTCGCTGCCGCTGCCAGCGCCGGGCACGGCGGGGGGGCGCGGGGCTGCGCTGTGTTGCGCTGCGCTCCGCTCCGCTCCGCTCCGCTCCCGCTCCGCGCCCTGCGCCGTCTGGGGCTGCCCCAGTGCGGTACCGGCACGCCACGCCCCCGCCCCCCCCCTTCTATCCCGAGGTTTCCTCGCGCCGAACGCATCCCGAGAGCGGCAGGCAGCCGCACGCCGGGGTTCAGCGCCCTGCTGGGGGTGAACGGGGCTGCCCTGTGTCCGGCCCCGGGGGTGGGGGGCGGCAGCGCGGAGGGGGCTGCCCGGTGCCAACCCCCGGGGGGGTGGACGCAGCCGTCCGGCCCCGCTGTGCTCGGCTCCCGCCTCGTTTTACGGCCGTGGAGAGGGAGGAAAAATCCCACACCAGGTGAGTGCTGCGCTCTTCTTCTTAAAAAGAAAAAATACAGAATGTGAGGGAATTCGGGGCGGTTTTTCGTTTGGGGTTGTTGAATTGTCCCCCCTCCTTCCTCCTCTTCAATGCGTTTGTCCGCACGGTGCATTGCCCAACGCGGGGAAGCGCTGCCGAGCGGGTTTGGGGAAAGAAGGAAAAAAATCCAGACTGAAGGGGAAAAGCCAAATTGAAGGCAGAAATCCAAATTTAGGAGAGTAAAGCCAAATTTGGAAGGAAAAAAAAAAAAAAAAGAGAAAAAACAGAACAACAAATGACAGAAATAATTCGGCTACGGAGCGCTGCGCGTCCCGGGGAGCGGCGGGGCGGGGATGGGGACCGAGCAGCGCCCCGCGTGTCCCGCATCGCACCGGCGGCCAGTACCGCTATGTTGTCATGTTTTACCGCTATGTTGTCATGTTTTACCGCTATGTTGTCATGTTTTACCGCTATGTTGTCATGTTTTACCGTTATGTCATGTATTACCGCTGTGTTATGTCATGCATTACCGTTATGTGACTGCTTGCTCCCATTGCCCCTCCTTTCGTGCTGCACAGAGATTGGGCTGGAAAAGAAACAAACAAAAGGATCGACCTCGCAAAAAGTCACATAAGGGGGGTGTTTGTTTACTGATTTATTTTTTCTTCTCCATTTTTTTTTTAGGGTGTTCTTAAGGTTTTTCCTTATATTTATTTTATTTTATTTTTTTATGAGGCTTTGGGATCAGTGGTGCATGGTCCCGCAGGGTCCCCCCCCACTCTGAGCCCTTTGCAGGAGGTTGGGGTCCAATCCTGGCTGTGTGCAGTGATTTCAGGTTGCTTATTCCAACTTCCATGCTGTCGGACACAGCCTTTTCCCTGTTGACAAACATGAGCAGGGCAGCTATTTTAAACTTCTCAACAACTTTGTGCTCTGGCAGAGCTCCATTCTGCTGCATCCTCCTTGCTCCTTGTGAGATTTTCTCTTGTGCATTGCTATGTCACTGCAAGATGCAAATTAATTTCCCCAGCATGGCACACCATGGGCTTTTCCCCTTTCCAGCCCTGCTGCTGCAGCATGGCAAGGTCCTCTTCTTCCTTCCTTCCTTCCTCTGCAGTACAAACTCCGAGGAGATGAACAGCTACATGTGGAGGAGTCGCCTTTGTTGTGTCATTTTTTTTTTTTTAAACCATATTTATTTCCTGGAATGCTGTTTTCCTCTTTATTTTGGAAGGGAGGGAACTAGGAACCTAAGGCAGGGTTTCCCTTCCTGCCCGTAAAGAAGTCTTACAGCAGTGATTTCATTAGGTGGGAAGGATGGCACTGGGAATGAAGTGATCACTTGAGAGCCCAATATCCTGGGAACTGCTCTGGGAAATGGTGATATGGGACTTGCAGGAAGGAGCACAAGTCCATGGGTTTGTGGTTTAAAAGTAGTGCCACTTCTGTGATGATGCCGATATTGGATGCTGCTGTCATCTTTATTTGCACTTCTATATTTATGTAGATGTGTTGGGATCGATGCTTTGTTATTATTGATTTGTGTGCTGGCATCCAAGCTACTCAAGACATAATTGAAGCAGAATTTAAACTGAGATGGGGAGATTTAGGTTAGATATTAGGAGGAAGCTCTTCACACAGAAGGTGCTGACACACTGGAACAGGCTGCCCAAGGAGGCTGTGGATGCCCCATCCCTGGAGGCATTCAAGGCCAGGCTGGATGTGGCTCTGGGCAGCCTGGTCTGGTGGTTGGTGACCCTGCACATAGCAGGGGGTTGGAACTGGATGAGCATTGTGGTCCTTTTCAACCCAGGCCATTCTGTTATTCTGTGATAAGTAGTGCAGAAATCTACGCTGTAAGATGAAATTTTGCTTTGTGGCAGCAGACACAGAAATGGACCAAAAGCTGCAAATCGCTCAGGAGCTCAATGACTGCGGGGCGAACACAAAGCTGGGCTGAGGATTTCCTTCCTTTTGAGTAATCGGAGTCAAATGGTTTCAAACTGAAAGAAGGGAAGTTTAGATTGGATATAAGGAAAAAAGTTTTTTCCAGTAAGGGTGATGAAGCAGTGGCACAGATTGCCCAGAGAGGTGGTGGATATCCAACCCTGGAAACACTCAGGGTCAGGCTGGAGGGGGCTCTCAGCACCGGATCGAGCTGGAGGTGTCCCTGTTCATTGCAGGGCAGTCGGACTCAATGGCCTTTAAAGGTCCCTTCAACTCAAATAATTCTATGGATTTCCTATCCAGGAATTGAGTTCTGGGGAGGAAATGAGTTTCTGGAGGAGGAAGTGATGGAGAAGGGCTCTGTGCCAGAGGCTGAGCTTCACCACTGGGCATGGGCAGGGCAGGTGAGGGTTGTGGAGCTTTCCTCTGTTATGCTCCCCTTCTCCCCAGCCCCGCAAAATGTAGAATCAAAGAATTGTAGAGGTTGGAAGGGACCTCTGGAGATCATTTGGTCCAAACAAGAAATCATAACAGCTGGGGATTGAATAAATTCGCTAATTCTTAAAACGTTTATTTCTTTTTTGTTCTAGAGCAGGACCAACAGTATGAGTGCAAGCCTCAGCAAGGACTCAGCAAGGACTGAGAAATGTGGCAGAAGCTAATTCCTGCAATTTGCCATCAGCTCCCAGGCAATAGGACAGCTAAAGATTCATGGCAGTAGTGTGACCAGCATGGCAGGAGCGTGTGGGGAGGGCATACCCAGCAATGCTGAGGCTGTTGAAATCAAGAGGCTTGCATGAATACTTGCAGAGCTTGAGAATGGGGGGTTCAGTAGACAATAAAATGACAAGGTGGATTTCCAGTGCTAAAACCATCCATGTGTGTAGACAGAGGTTTGGGCAGAGATGTGTTCTGCAGCCCAAGCTGGGCTGGTGCTGAGTGTTACATGACCTAGGGCAGTGTTTTGATTCACTCTTCAGCTCCTGTGATTTCATTTTGCAGCAAGTCACTTAGCTTCCTTCCCTCCCATCGATTCTGTCAGTAGCTGACTAACTCTCATTTTGTTTTTAATGGCTCTCTTTCAGTGTGAAACAGCTGTTCTGTCATGTTTGTCATGCAGTCCTGATGGCTTGTGGTCATGAATTTATATGGAGAGAGTTGGGTCAAATATTTCTCGGGTGCTAATATGTTGAATTAATTAGGGCAGAACAGGACTTGAACATGTCCCTTGTCAGTACTTAAACAGAATCTGCACCACCTGAAAATATGTCACTGTTACAGTAGTTTTATAACTAATCTGTGCTACTAAGCAGTGGCTCTGAATGTAGGACAAAGGCAAGGTATTAGTGAGATTTGTGTTGTGGTGTTATTTGATTTCACCTTATGTAG